CAAAAATCTATTCTAAATTTTGTGCGACCAGATGATAAAAAGCAAATAAAATACAAGAGACAGAAGCCAAGTGCCTGCTAAGCATTACAAACCTGTAACTTTACCACTTTAGAGTCTCCGAACTTGATGCTGTATTCTTTCACAAGAGTAGCCATTTCGCGTTCGTGTTCCTCCTGCAAGAGATTCAGATCGTATAGTCTCTTGCTCTTTAGAGCCATAAAGTCCTTGTTCATCTTGTTCAGCTCTTCTTTCAAAATGTCGTTTTCGTTAGTTAACTTTTTGATAACTCCGTTCTTGCCGTTCTCCGTATACTGCATCGGATCATACAACTTTGGTGTCGACGACGACAGTCTTTGCGAGTCGGAAACATGTCCGTTCTGATAGACATTCGAATTCTGATCGTTTCCTTCACCGTTTTTCATTCCTCGAAACGCCCTATCGAAATCCATGCTTCTGAAGCTCCTCCGATCATTCAATAATTTCTCCCGTTCCTTCTGCAATCTACGATTCGTCTTCTGTAACTCCTGATACTCCTTGGTTATCTTCGAGACTGCTTTATCTTTATTCGCTATTTCTAGTTTCAAGCCTCTTATAGTGGCGATAAGATGCGTGTCCTCTTTCGGATTTTGAGACTTTGGTCCAACCTTCATCGCTTTTTGATCTTTCTTCTCTTCCATCGCTGAAGCTTTTTCATCTCTCTTATTAGTCTCCATATTCTTGCTCTCCACATGCCTGACTGTCGTCTGTGTGAACATGTCATTGTACAACTTGTGTTCCTTTGCGGTAGCTTCCAACAGTTTCGCCTCCAACTCCGTTATCTGAACCACGTACTTTTCCTTCATGTCGGAGAACTTTTTCTGTAAGTCAACTAAATTTTGTTGCGCGACATTCTCCTTGTCTTTAATCTCGTTTTCAAGACTCGCTATTCTTTCCTCCAAAAGTTTTACTTTCTCGGAACCGATCTTTTCCTGTTCCGAATTGGCAGTCAGTATGAGAGCCGAAACCGAATCCGGATTCTTCCTCTTGAGAATACGCTCCAATTCGCGCACTTGCCTGTTTAGATCTATGATTTTCTTATTGTCCAGAATAACTTGATCCTTGAGTTTCTGGGTCAGCTGTTTCTCGCGCTCGGTGTGACTCTTGCTTATTTGCAACTTCTCCTGGAGATTCCCCTCTTTAATTCTAAGTTCCAATAGTTCCTTCTCCAAAGGCAGTATATTTTGCTGAAATTTCTCCAGCTCCTGCTTCGTCACTCGCAGCTGCTCCGACTTTGAGCTCAATTTGATACTCAGATCTTCTAACTGTTTCTTAAGATCTAACTCCGTGGTGCTCATCACTTGTAACCGATCCGTGATGAAGTTGTTTTTCGCTCTCAGCTGCTCCTTGAACATCTCCAATTCGTCCGTTAGTAAACTGTTCTGTTGAGTCAAATCGTCATTTTTCAGCAGGCAATCAACATTTTTCTCCTTCAATTCAGACACTTCGAGATTGAGCTTCAACGTCTCCTCTTGAAGATCTTTCATCCGATCAGTGAGTTGTTGCATGTCGTTCGCCTCCGATACCGTGATCTTCTGTTTAGATTGCAAACTCTTCAGCTCCTCTTGCATACGTTTCGTATCCTGCATCAACTTCTTGTTTTCGGTCTCATAAGCGCAGATTAGGTTCTCCTGCTTTTCCAGTTCTTGTTCTAGAAGAACGATTTTTGTATCGTTCTTAGCTGGAACTTCCATGAGCCTCTCGTTCAGAGAAAGCTCGTCGACTCTCGCTTTCAAAATTATATTCTGTTTCTTCAAAGCAAATAGTTCACCCTCGAAGGACGTACGCATTTCTTCGATTTGACTTTTGTACAGCTTCGCTTCGGATTCCAGTTGTTGCTTTAGAAGCGCGTTCTTATGTCTCTCCTCACGACATAACATCTCCCAATCACGTTTCATCGAAATCTGCTTCGAATCTCCAGCAGCCATCAAATTTTTCCTGTAACTGTCAGGTGATTTCAACTGAGATCCTTTGCATGCAGCTGGCAAACTAGATGTGGATCCAGTTTTAGCAGAATCTATTTTTGGTTTCGGAAATGTATTATGTTTCGATATAGTTTTGGAAATTGATCGGGATTGCACTTTCGGTTTTATCATTGGTGATTTTTTAGAGACCAGGTTCACAGATTTCTTGGACACATCCAGTGCTTTGTTACTTCTGATATTTTCGAGAGAGGTTCTCAGAGGAGGCTGGCATATTTGATCATAGCTCTTGGACTTACAAAATCTTATTTCTTTCTTCAATTGTTTATTGCTCGGTGCACTAACCACGCGATCGGTTTTACATACACCTGTTGTTTTTTTCAAAACACTGTGACCAGACACTTCTTGATGATCCATCCTAGAAGTCTTGGATGCTTTGGCAACATGCAAACTTTCCATTTTTGTATCAACTTTCCCTTCTGCGCACACAGATTTTTTATGCACCAAATCTATCTTCTCTGCATTTTCTTTCACATTTTCATTTAACTTTTCAGCCATGAGTTTGGGTATTGCATCCGCAAACAGTTCTAATCTTGGTGTCAATCCCACTGTATACAATTCACTTTCAGACTTTTTATTGTCTTCTGTTATATTTTTATTACTTTTTCTGTCTATGTCTGTTGATATAGATTTTTTAGATTCTTTATTAGAATTTTGCAAGAATGTTGCCGCGATTGATGGAGAATTAGGTGCTCGTTTAGATTGTCTTTCGCTAACACTGGAATCACTTTCATTAATTTCATGTTCACCGTGTGTATTGTTAGTGTCTGATAATTCCTTTCCTAATATCTCAGAAAATTCTTTTTCCGGAAATTCCGGGGTTTTGCCACTAGCTAATTGATTCTCTACAGTCGATAGTTCGCCATTGGTAGGTTTCAAAAAAAGATCATAGACTTTATTAGGCTCTTTTGATTCTGGCTCCTTTTTGTCCATGTTTTGCCCTTGAAGCAGCTTCAAGAAGTGTGAGAAATCTTCCTGCCCGAAACTAGAGCTCCCAGATATCCCACCTTCTGCCTTTTCCTTGGATTTTCTCAAGAAATCTTCGAAAAAGTTCTTGTCCACATCCGTGATTTCCTTCTGCAGATTCTCCTTTTCCATTTCCATTTTCTTTGTGCTCTTTAATTCCTCGGACTTGGAATGCCTCTCAATCGGATCATCCAAATCGGAACTACTCGATATCTCGACTTTCTGTTCCTCAAACTTTCTTCTTTGAAGTTCCAGTGTCTTTGGTGGTTTTAAACTACTTAGATTTTCGTAAACGATTTCGAATCCAGGACTGTTCTCTCGTTTTTTCTCATTTTTCGGACTTCTCTTTATCTTTTCTGTTTCTTTATGAACCTCTTTCTCTATTAATTGAAAAATATCAGCTTCTAATTGCCTTACTCTACTCAGGCTTTTATCTTGATTATTTTCTGGTACTAGAGTATCAGATTTAGATATACTTTTTGACAAAGTACTACTGTTTTTCCTCACTAGTTTCTCTGCTTCCTCTAATAATTCCTCTACTGACTTCTCTTCTTCAGTGGGATTCTTACTGGAATCACCAGATTTGGTACGTTCGGGACCTGAATTAGGACTTAATGCATCAGCAATCTTGCTCATTTCTTCCAATATACTACCAATATCTTCATCAGTAGCATCTATAACAAACATAAGCATATCAATCAAATACAAATACTGTTTTGTAAAGAGCTTTAATTTTACATATTGTATAAAATCTTACTTTCAAAATCTGATGGATATTTATCAAAAGCTGCAGATGCAAGTATATCGCATAAAGTATCATCTTTGTCTTTCACTTCTCCTTCGCTTTTCGACACTATCTGAAAAACATGTAAAGCAATATATTAGAAACAATAGTGAATAAAAGTATTCGCAACATTCTATCCTTAAATTTATATAAATTATAAAAAATATTTTATTACATCATTACATGATTTAATCAATTACTTTGCACATTCTTTCTTTTTCGAGAAACTCTTTCATAGAAGAGCTGACATCCGACGTAGGAGTAGGAGACTGCTTCATCTTTGCATCTGCATTCTTGGCACTTAAAACATCTAGACGTGTTTCAGGTCGCTTCAACCACCATTTATCTTGTGTATCTTTCTTATCAGCCGACAATTGTTCTTTGGTAGGTTTGATTTTTTTCTTAATCCGCACCGAATTCTCCCCAACACTCAGACTTACGGAGGATTCCAAAGTATCATCTTCTGAGGAGATCAACTAAAATAAAAATTTAAACATATAAAACACTCATCCGTTTATTTCGCTTAATAAAACAAATTTGTTTGAAATATCGCTCGACACATTCCAGTGACAGATTTAGGTTAAATGAACAACCATGGAGCTTGCGAATATGAATAATACTAAAATGAAACTTACATCTTCGATTCGCGGCGATTTTCCGGTATCCGAAGACATTTCACTGTTCGTCCGCAGATAAAATTGACTCAAAATGCTGTATATAATTGGTCATCTTCCTCGAACTCTTTGACACCTGCCATACTTTTTGTTTGTTTGTTACCTGTAATTCGTTTGGTTGCCGCTACGCTACGGCTCACGCAAAACGGGACGCGCGGAAATAAAATAATCCTCTTGTAAAAAAAGATAATCGCCACTAGTTAAAAAATTTATATTACATTTGACAAAAATTTAATTTCTTTAAATTGTGCACAAATTATAAAATCGCATTTTATGCGAAATATTTATATGACGAATGTTTTTACAAAACAATCTTTGAAAAAGATAAATTATAATCATTATAGTACACAGCGTAAGATCACAAATTATTTTCTTTGTCAAAGTATTTTATAGCCATTTAATTTGTCATATATGTGTATTGCTATGTTTTAACATTATCACATTTAATAATGCTACAAAAAAATATGAATCAGAAACAGAATTTTTTATGAAAAGATAAGAAGTGATGTGGGATCAGGATAATGTTTTGTACAGACATTATAATTATATAATTTATGCAGTTGTATAACATTTATTAATTAATTCAGTGATATGAGAAAGATATATCTTTTGGGAATAACAACGTTTATTTATTTGTATATTAACGGACAGATAATTTAGAGAAGCATTTTGCAATAATAAGAGATTGAATAAAAGCTTATGCAATTAATATCAATATTATTATTGTAAATCAAATTTAATGATATAATATTATTTAATTTTTATATTTGATAATATATAATAATGAAATTAAAGTATAGTTAGTTACTTAACAAATCCGTATATTTATTAACCATCATAATGTTGATAAATTTGAATGTTCAACAATCCTAATAAAAAAATGATCTTTTAAATAAAATATGATTTTTTTTAAATAGAAAAATATTGTTAAACTATATATCGATCGTATTAATGTATAAAATTTCAAAGAAGCATAAAAAAAGCAATTTTCGAATATTATATGCCTTAATCTGCATACACAGAGTTCTCCAAAAAATCGGTCGTTTTATATACATTTTCATATACATTTATCACATATTCTCATGAAATATATATCGATATATATTTATATCTTTTGTTTTTCATAAAATAGATCTCTATCTATATTCGTATATTTATTTCTTAATCTTTGAAGGCGACTTGTGAATTTCTTACATAAAATCTTAAGCATATGCAACAGTGTCATTGTTTAATGTAACGTAAATCGACAAACAAGATATGCATATATATTCTCGTTCACAAAATAAATGATATAATAAAGATAATAACAGATGATAATATATTTAAACAAAATAAAATATATACAGATATAAACAAATCTGTTATTTCCCGTTTATTGTCCATGTGCTCACAAATGTATCAATAATCTTAATAAAGGCCAAAAAAAATTCCAATAAAAAAAAAGATAGAAAAGATCAATGATTATAACTGATATAACTAATGTTTTTTGTCATTGCAAAAAATAAAAAAAATTGCTACTATTGTTACATTTCATGAACAAAAATTTCGTCTCTCGTTATCGTTATATAATATAGAATATTAAACTTAAACAAAGCGCGTTTCTGTCATTTCAAAAGCGATATATCCGGAAATTAAGAAGAAAATTGCCAAAATAATCTTTAGATAGAAACTTATAGGTACATGTGCATTCTCATGCATGTATAAGCAAAAAGGATTCCTTAATCATTCTCTTTTACACATTTTAAAAATACATCTTAATCTCTCGCACGTCTTTCATACATAGCGAAGATATCCAAAAAACTCCTTCTTTCATACTCTTTCAAATATCCTTTAGATGGCTTGTAAATTTTGTAATTCTCGGAAATTCGGCCACGTAAGGAAAGATCAATCGTAGTAGCATCTATGTAGTCTGAATAATTCCTTGTTCGCAAAGCTGACGTCGCACGTCTCGCAGTAGTGTTTAATGGTCTCGGCCAGCTTCACCATCGCTGGCTTTATCTTTGCGCTTTTGTTGATGTCCATCAGTTTCCTTGTTTGTAACTTTTTCACCGACCAATCCATGTAATTGTTCTTTCTCGCTTTGCCGTTTCTCAGGAAGGCATCCTGACTTCTCAGACATTTTGGCGAATAGTTCGCCGCTGGCAATCGATAGATCTTCTTCGTCTTCACCAGGCTGTTCTTCATGATGTTGGACAACGACTTTCGCTTGGCTTGCTGAAATTTATTTCGTAATTGTGAATGACTCGACTTGAAATAATCTGATATGTCATCTTGTAAGCTGACATAATTATCCCTCGTCAATGCTTTGACATTCGCGGGTAAATCGGCGAGCGAATTATTCGGTAATCGAGATATCGTGCTGGTCGTTTCACTGAGCACCGTGTCTTCCAGATCGTCCAAAACTTCCTGCTTTATCTTGAGTTTCGGAGCAAATTTATTTTCATTTTTCGAACGCAGCTTCGAGTTCTGCTCCGTGTCTTCCACTTTGCGTCTCTTCGTACGGTAATCCGATACCTTTCTCATTTTCGGTTCCTGATAATCCACGACGTTTCTTCTGGGTCTTAAATTACGCCCTTCCAACTCGTCCATTTGTTCCACCTTGATCTGTCGAGTCCATCTAAAGTTCGATGTAAACGTCGTTTTCGGATTAGAAATATCCGAGTTGTTCGTTACAGATGGTCCCGAATCAACATCAATCGACATTCTCTTCTTATTCAACGCATAGTCCACTAGATTTTTCTTGGGTTTCAAATTTTGCACTATCGTTCTCCTCTTATTTGACGCATAGTTCACCAGATTGTTCCTTGGTCTCAAATTCCGCACTATCGTGCTTTCCGAAGTTGCTTGACTTCTAGAAACCGCTTCGAGTCCATAAGAACGGTTTCGCGTCTTCAGGGAGAATACGTCATCTCTGGTGTTCGTATCTGTGATTAAACGATTTCGCGCGTTCTCGACAGCGTCGATGCAAGAAAGACGATTCTGCGGGCAATCTGGAAACATCGCTTGCGTAGAAGTGTTCCTCTTGATCGGTTTTATTCTGGCGGCAGTGTTCTCGAGAGTCCTTTTCCGCGAGTCGCTCGCGATTTCATCGCATCTAGACACGGATTCTCTATAATTCTGACAAAATTCCGCGGTAGTCTTTCTTGCTCTACTTTGGTCCTTCTTATCACAGCAACATCGGTAACGCGAGAGTGTCGCATATGTCAATCCGTTGTGAATTCCATCGGCAGGAAGTGCCATCGAATTCATCGAGTTGATATACTCCATGTTCTCTATCAGCGGTTCCAGCTCATATACATCGTAATCAAGCGACTCTGTCTTGATCTTCACATTCTCAATATGCACCATCGGCACGCTAATCTTCTCCCGGTCCTTTCGCATCCACGACAACTGACTTTTGAGCGCCGCGTCCGTCTTCAAACAGTCCACGTAGAATTTATGTAACTCCTCCAGCTTGTAGCTACACCGATGGCACATCTGCTTTGGCAGTAGATCCATCTCGTGCACCTAAAGAACGCATAGTACATACGAATTAAGAGGACGTGATCCCCCGAGAAGGGATGTTTTGGCTGTACAATATTAGCAAAAAACCGCCAAAATAAAAAATAAAAAAAAATTTCTTACGCTTATACTCTTTGAAAAATCAAATAAATAAATCCGGATTATAAAAAGATTTAAAGTATCACAAAATAATATGGTCTTTAACGTCTTCGTAAAAGAAAATAGTTGTAATTAATATTTTTCCTAATTTATAACAAAAACTTTTGATCGTGAATACCCCATGAAATCAAGTGCAAGAAACAAAGAAAAACGAGTAATTTGCAAAAAGAGAAAGAGAGAGATAATGATTTTCTATAATTTTTAGAGAGTAAATAACTTTTAAACGAATAAGTAGATCTAAATCAAGTTTTGCACAAATATTTATTAGAGTTTTCTTAATATATGTGATCATTTTTATTTCGTTGGCAATGTTTTTTCCTTGTCAAATTTGTCAATAAATACTACAATACGCGATTTTCCATAAGTATCAATATTAACTTTAAACTTAAATAATTTCCAAAGTTAAGAGAATTGTGCTCAGGTTTTACACAGATACTCAGAAGAAATAATAGAACAATTTACGAAATTTTCATGCTTTTGTCAATGTTTTGACATATGACACATACATCCTTTCGTCCATTTTTTTTTTCTCCAAAGACAAAAAATTAATTTTAAGCTTGAGAAAAAATTAATCTAGCTAATTTTTAATCAAAGATTAATTTTCGCAATCCTCATTTCCTCGACAGATTTATGTTTCCAAGATTCTTTCTAAAAAAATAAGAGATAACAAAGTTATTGCATTATATAAAATCTTTCGATTGTTGCACAATTGTCGGTAGAATAATTTTTATAAAACTTTCAGGATAGCCATAGGATCATATCGTCGAATTGCAGGAAATAAATGAAGAATAATCGAGCGTGCATCATCGTATTTGTAATGGCTGTGCGTATGTGATAGACATGTGTAAATGGCATGCTGCACAAGCTTGAAAACTTCCGTTCATTAACATTATCGCGGTATTCTCACTACCTCGCTAATAGCTCCAAAATAGGTCCGAAAAGTGGCATAGTTTGTCGCAAGTTTAATTGCTTATTTCTAACTCATATTCAATTCAATGATATATCTACACGTTTTTTCTTTGCTTTTATTCCATATTATACATATTCATTATATTAATAAAATATTATTCTGTATTTACATTCATTTGAATATCAATCATATCATAAATCACAATAAATTAGAATTCAAAAAAAAAAATGTAAATGTACAAGCGATACATTCAAAATTTGCGAAAACAGAATGATTAAGCAATCTAACTTGACATTTATCATCATGATACATTATTTATACAAATATATAACATATACAAGATATATGCAAATAATCTGGTTTGAAGATATTTCAAAATTGTTTTGATTATTTCGAAAATGATATTAAGTACATGAAAATGTTGAAATATGGAAATAAATTGATTTATTAAGTTAATAAAAAGATGTAATTATTCAAGGTTCTAAAATATATAAAGTTAATGCAAAAATATGTTATAAAACGTCCTATACATTCGAAAGATGAACGAATTTGAAAATCTTTTATTTACCATAATTTTTCTGCTTTAATAAAAAATTAAACTCTCTTTATTATTAAATCTCTCTATTATTTAATCTCGTTATTTATGTATATATCCATTATAACATACATTGCAAGATTTTTGTTCTTATAAATATAAATATAACAAATGCATTAAATTATATACGTATTCTAAACAATATATTTTATATACAAATATATATATTTATATATTAATATATATATATATATAAATTTATTTTAAAAATATATAATTAAAATATATTAAAAAAAATAATAGTACAAAAAGCCACGTGCGTGCCACCCCTTTGCCCCGGAATTCATTATTCCTTTCGTTCGTCAATTCCGACGTACTTAAAAATTCTTTTGTTCTCCTTCCCTCCCTCCCCCTCAGTCCAGCCACGCTAGTGTATTACGGTACCCTTTTTCACGTCGGAAAGACCACGTAAGCATTGATGGAGAAAGGGAGAGGGGGAAGAGCAAAGATGAAAAAAAAAGAGGAAAGAATTGAAAGGAACGATATAAAGCGTAGCTAATAATAACGCAGCTCGCGTTTCACAATAAGACCGTGCGAGGGTGCGCTTTAACGTATCGGTTGTGCCCTCGCAGAGGGCGAGAACCGCGGACACCGCGTGCGAAAGCGCCGTGCCGTACCCTCCGACAGTAGGGAGAATCGCGAAGGGGAAAGCGGACGGAAGGAAAGAGATGGATGCCGTGGAAAGGAGAGGGAGAGAGAGAGAGAGAGAGGGAGGGAGAGAGCGAGAGCGCCCGAACGAGAGAAGGTACGGATGCCGTGGAAAGGAGAGGGAGAGAGAGAGAGAGAGAGAGAGGGAGGGAGAGAGCGAGAGCGCCCGAACGAGAGAAGGTACGTGACCAACGTACCATGATCGGCAGCACGGCGTTGATCTTCCTGACATGGTTCTCACTCTCGTCGAAGATGTTGATGGAGATGCCCGACTGTTGGCCGCACAGACGGCACACGCGGCTCGACTCCAGGGTCTCCATGCCGCGCGCTCTCTCGGCCTCTCGTCGTCGCACCACGCCGTTCGGCTCACTCAGCCCTCTCGAGCGACGCGACGTCACGTACACGCGCGTCTTCGCTCGCTTTATCCGTCTCGCGCTCCAATGCTGCGTCGCCTCTGCTCCTTCGCGCTCGTATGCGAGTTCCCGCTCGTGTGTACTTGTCCGCGCCCTACCCGCGGGAATCTCGAAAAGCCCGTAGAAAGTCGAGCCGAATAGAGCAAGAGAGATGGCATGTGAAGAGGAGGGGAGGAAACGAGCTGACGGGAATGAGAGGGAAGGATAAATCGCGCGTGAGATCCGGTGGGGTAAAGGGATCTATGGTAAAATTACACTTTTAACGCAGCGACGATCGGTACGTAGATCCACTGGATATGACGAACGATGCTTGGGAATCTTTCACTGGATCGATTTACATCGCGTCGCGCACTGTAATTGTAAAGTATTGAGCTTTCGACGATAATGGCGCCTTTCGTAAAGTTCGAGTGTTCAGTGTTCAGCGAGATCTCTGGCAACGAGAAGTGATGATAAGTTTGAGGAAATCGATTATACCGACAGTTGATCGATCAGAAATTTTCAGATATGGCTATGTGGTTTTGTCTACATTTTCTAGATATATTTGGCGCTCTTCTCGGTCTTTGTGATCTTGAGAAACGACGTCATTTTACTCGCGTTGACATTCGACAAGATTTGTGGTTTTTTCTCAAAAATCGTATTTGATTCAATTTGAAAATGGATGATGCCGCATCGAGTGCATCGTCTACGCAATCGCTGTCAGCAAAATATCAAGAAAAGATGAAACGACTCAGGGAACTTCACGCTAAGAGGGTAAGTTTGCAATCGATCAAAGCTAGCCTGTAAGAGATGTTTTATGTTTTAGGAAAGTTTTGCAATTCAATCTCTTGGAATCGGAATAATCAATGTCACTTCATCATTTTAAACCTGAGAAATCAAATATTTCAGAACATTCTTTTCTCTCTTTATATTTCCATTGGTTATTCTAACTCCAAATTACCGAATGAATGTGTTAATCTATTAACATCATCATGATTTGTCTACATCGTCTCTATTGATTCAACAGAACGAAGCCAGAATGCAGAATCATAAAGAAGTTGTAGAGGAGGATAAAAGGAATAAGCTACCTACCAATTGGGAATCTCGCAAGAGACAGGCCGAATGGATAATACAGGACGAAGCTGCTAGGAAAGAGGCAGAGACTAAAGTAATATAACAGATTTCGATAGAATTTTACACTTTTAGATATACAAACCTATTTACTTAATTTACTTGTACTTTTTACAGGGCAAAGATTACGAACGAATGAAATTACTGAATATTGAAGCCACAGAAGCAGAGAGAATAGCTAGAAAGAAGAGGAGCAAACAAAATCCGGATCCAGGTTTCTCAGATTATGAACAAGCAGCGATACGATCATATAACAGATTGGTGAAGAATATCAAACCAAACATGGAAGCATACGAAAAAGCAAAGGAGAAACTAGGGCCTGCCTTTTATGGGGACCGAAATACGATAATGCATGGTTTGCACGAAGATAGAAAAGAAGCGATAGATAAAATGGTCACCAATTTGGAAAAACAGTAAGTAAAATTAATAATTTTACAGCAATATTGCACCATCTTCGATAACTCATATTTCACATTTATCTTTTTTCTTTACAGGGTCGCAAAGAGAGAAAAGTATAGCAGGCGCAGAATGCATAACGACGACGCGGATATCGATTACATCAATGAACGTAATGCAAAGTTCAATCAGAAATTGGAAAGATTCTATGGAGAGTATACTCGGGAGACAAAGTTAAATTTGGAGAGGGGTACGGCTATATAATGGCGGAAATATTACAATTATTATAAATATACTTTATATTTTACATATTATGCGATCATTTTTATACAAGTAAGAATCTGACGATAATAAAATTTTGTAGTTAAATCTTTCGTTATTATACCGGCACTTAATGCGCATTGATACGCGACAATCTAAATGTTCTAAAAGTTTCTCTCTAGGAAGAGAAATATAATATGTCAGAAAATCCAATTAGTTACTTAGCGTCAACTTGAAAACAGACTTTACAGCGAACTATTTAACTAATAACGCGTAATGTACACACTAATTGCAAATAAAAAATTAAATTATTACATTAGTCACATGTTCTATAATTGCTTAGAGCCCCCCCTACAATTTATTTAATTTAAATAATAATATAATTATATATATACAGTTCTTTAAAAATTTCTAATTCAGTTCACGTCATACCACCCAACTATGCACTGTACCTGAAAAAGTAAAAAAATAATTATTTTTATAGATAGTATTAATATTATTTCAACAAAAGCAGCGGGTATACTTACGTCTTGGCGAAAAGTTGTGATGATGCGTTACTCGTATATGAATATCTTGTGTCTCCCCTGAAAATTAGAGAACCATTTTCTAGTATTGCTATAAAATTCAATTAAATAATGTTATATATTATTATCAAGCATAAAATGCCTTTCCTTACCTTAAATTAGAGTCAATATTATATTTTTTGCTAGAAAATATCAACGCTATATCAACAATGTTAGTGCTTAGAAAAATCGTAAAAAAATATATAATTTGTAAATGAAAAATGTTAATTAATCATGCGGTATCGAAATCAGTAAATACACACGTATTTATAACAAACAAATGAAAACAAAGCCGCGCGCCTTGTTCTCTTTTATTATGCTAAAAACATGATCAATTAATCATAATTAAGTACACAATTTCTATAACATAGTTTAATAATAGCACACTGGTTAAAAGTTTCTTAAAAATATAGTGATGTTAAAATATATCACTTTTTTACATAAATACTTCACCGCGTCGACTTCAAAGTTCGATCGATTAGTATTTAATCGATCAATCAACTTTGAAATAACTTTAGCAAGTTTCCGCGGAAATTATCTCACAAATCAAACGACATGCTGTTAGGCAACGAGCTATTAGCTCTATTCTATTCCGGGTGACTGGAGTGGTATTGAAGAAGGTTTACGGTCACAACCAGCCGCTGCCGACGAAGACGACGACAACAATAACGTCGATAGCATCGTTCCTGGCGACTTGCCGTGCACTGTACCTGCATTACCGCTGGGGGTCAACAGTCTCGGCATGTCGCACTCCTCGCACTTGTTCATTAGCGGATGATTGTCGAAAGTACACATGGTGCAGACCCACGATGGTCCGTCCCGTTCATTGTCGCTCGCGATTGTCGGCTGTTCCGATCGCCACACTGGGGGTTGACTCGGCAAAGGTGGCGGTTGCAGATTCAGTGGTCTTGTCGGTAACGGCTGGCCAGTATAAATGCTCTGATAAAACTCCTCGTTGGTTTCGCCCAATGGTACTGAAAGCACAATTATTCGAGTTGCTTACAAACTGCTTATAATCTTATATGTGACAGTATAATAAGAAGTAGATACCTCGTCTGTCTGACCATTGATCCACTTGGTCGGCCAACCTGTCACACTCAATCTGTAGCATATATATTTCGCTCCTCAGCCGTTTCTTCAGCTCCTGCAAGAATTTTGTGTTAAAATATGCATTAAAAAGAAACCATATCGCGCATTCTTTTCTGCTATACACACTTGAGGGGATACCGAAGGATCCAGTGGTTTGGCGAGAGCTTGCACTTCCTTCTTCATTGCTTCAAGTCGTCCCTTCTCGACCCTTAATTCTCTGGCGAGCCTTTCTTTCCTAGCCAATTGCTCCGTGATCAACTTCTTTTGGTGCTCCGTCACTAAAAATTCCAATAACAATTTTAACTGACGTGTATACATAGACAAGAGAGAGGCGAGTCGAACCGCTTCAAAGCTTACTTTAACCACGACAACTTTCTAATTCTATCTTGCCGCGAGAGAAAATACTTTCGCAAGTGATGACATTGCCGCGGCTGCAATTCGTTAATTTTATCACATTACGCCTGGTTTATTACAATTTTATTAATCACGATGATAATATGAGTTAGACAAAGCACTTCCATCAGTTTTATCTGGGTCATTTAGATTAAAAAACGCGTTCTGTACGTCGTAAACAATATTATAACATTATCGTGTTTCTTCGTTAATTGGAAAAAAAAAAAAGAGCGAAGGCCATGGATACGCTTAACGTAACGACGTCCAGGAAACGCGCGGACTCTCGTAGTTAGAAAAACCGGATCAGGTGGTCCGCGTAGCTGTAACCGGCGGCGTGCGGCTATGTATAGCCCGGAGCGTGGGGTCAGGAATGCGTAAATAACGTTCCCGGTGTTGCGTGCGTGGGCGTAGTACGTGCGACCGAGTGACTTCCAGGTAAATATACATGTGCGCGCGCTTCTACAACGCTATAGCTACAAAAGTCAGAATCGGAAAGCTCGTCGTTCCGGCATTACTTTGACTCAACGATGATCGGTTCTGATCGGAAGTGGACTGCGTGTGTTCCCCAACACTGGCATTGGAGGGAGGTACGATGCCGATCATCGTGGGTGCGGAAGGCGTCGTCGGGAGACTGCAAATTGGGACGATATTCGTTGTCGGCGGTACGGAGGGTGTAGTCGGCGCACTCATCGTCGTTGTCGTCGGTCTTGGCAGCTGGCTCGGCGGTCCTGGCGGAAGTCCTGGGAGCGATGCAAACGAAAAAAATTCGTGTTAATTTTAGTAATAGGTTCTTTGACAAATCTAGACGAGATCTTGCCCAGAATTTTATTAAAATTAACAGTCAAATATATTTTATATTAATCAATCAAAAAATTCTCCCTACGTATATATACTTTATATTTTATATATCTTATTTACTTATATATCTCATTTATTGTATTACATTATACATATTATATTACTTTACACATATTATATTTTCTCTTATCAAATTTCTTTCTAGATAAATATATATTTTTTTTTTAAGTATATAAATTATAAACTGTACCAAAATTATTGGCAAATTTATATTACATTGTAATATTGTATATTACATTTGAAATAAAAAACATACCAGGTGGCCGCTGTGGACTCGTCTGAGTCGACGGTAATAGGCTGTTGGCCATCGGTGGTCTTATCCTCGCCGCTGCCACGCTACCGACGTTTCCTGGACCGATGCTGATCTGCAGGCGACTCTGAAAGCCACGTGGGTCCAGGGACGAAGTCGAGTAAGTCAGGCTCGATCCTTCCGACCTGATATCAATCGGGGGTTGCGGCTCGGAGGAAGGCGGCCTGAGAGTCAAGCTGACCGAGGTATAACTTCGCGTGTGATCGATCTGCGTCCCGGACTTCCCGACGACAGGTTCGGCGTAATGAGGCCGTGGCACGACGATGAGATCGCTTCGTTTACAAGGACCGATTGTCGGTACCGTTCGAAAATCTGTCGATGTAAAATTATAATTAAACGTTCGTCTACAAATTTTTTTTTTTCAATAATTTTTGACTAATTTTAGAGGCGATGGCTGAAATCAAAAGAAGTCGAGGGTGTATATCTGCGTCAAAGTCAACTTGCGAACTGGTTCGAATTTCTGAATGATGATTGTGAGAGCTTATGTGAGCGCGATTGATAAAAATAATATTCAAAACAACATTCGCAACATGGAGTAACGATAAGATAACGATTAGAATAAGAGTAACGATACGGTCTTCCGAGACGAAAACACTTGGCGTTGTTATACAAGTCGCTTAATTACTCTTCGCAATGTCCGTAGATGTCCTATTTATCTTTACGATTATCAGGAGCGAGATAAAAGTCCTTTTTACGTGCCGCGATCACTTTTGATTCGATACCATCGTATTAATTTTCAGATCCGCTTAATCGTATCACATATATTTAACGCTCGATATTGATACTCAACTATTCTGCAATATATCGTTAAAATTTGTTAAAAATATCTCGCCTGAGAAAAATAATTCATATTATTTAAAAAAAGTTCCTCTTTATACATTCATATATTTTTTATATCCAATATATGAATTAAATAATCGACGGAATTAAACACGCTATAACTCCTTCCACTCGACGTTAAATATTGCGGATACGATGTCAATTTCAGCAACGACAGCATCCGTACCGCGATTGCCCGCGGGGCTGCAGGCGACGTTGACGTTAAGCTCGAAGCCGGACGGTGCGTTGCTGCCGTTGCTATTGACGGTGCAACCGTCGTCGAAGAAGCCGCGCGACGTGCAGGCGGCCGGAGCGGACGAGGGGGTGACGACGACGGGGTTCGACGACGTCGTGGACGTCGCGCGAATGCAACCTACGACGGGGGGGATGCAACGACGTGTCATGCCGATGTCCAACGACGCCGGTCGATGGGGACGCCTGACGCCGACCGGGATGCCGAGTTGCTGCTGTTGCTGCTGCTGCTGCTGCTGGACCTGATTCATCGCGCAGCAACGTTGCTGTTCTCGTTGTTGCGGCGGAGATGACGGCTGATGGTGTTGTTGCTGCACCACGATGCAAGGGGCCGGCGGTGGAAACGCGCCCGGTGACGGACGGGACTCCTGGGTGGCCCGCAAGCTTCTCGCGCATATCTCCCGGTCGTGACTGTTCTGCAACGCACATGTACCTACGGTCAGTAGGTTCATCTGACCTTCATCTCCCCGAGGAATCGTCGATTTTTCCGGATATCGAAGATATATGTATATTGCGGGAAGCACGACAGAGCTCGCGTTCCCTGTCTTCGGGTTCCTCGCCAAAATCGCCGCGTTCCAAAATTGAACACGTCGCGCGATTGCTTACAATTATCCCCGGACATCGCACGTACATGTGTAATGCTGAGAAAGATTTATATACAATATTCTAGAAGCCTCGGATATCTTGTAATTTCCTCGGCCGATTTGGATGCAATCTTTCATGGGTGACGTTGAGGAAACCAGAAATATTATAATTTATTACATCCCTTTCAAATTTTTACTGTTATATTAATTTTTAATAAGTCTCGAATTAAGATTCGATTAAACTTGGAATTAGCTTATAGACGTATGTGTCATATGTCAAAACATTGACAAAAGCATGAAAGTTTCGTAAACTGTTCTACTATTTCTTCTGAATATCTGTGCAAAACCTAAGCATAATTCTCTTAACGGTTTGGAAATTATTTAAGTTTAAAGTTACTATTGATTCTTATGGAAAATCGCATATTGTAGCACTTATTGACAAATTTGACAAGGAAAAAACATTGCCAACGAAATAAAAATTTTCACATATATTAAGAAAACTCTGATAAATATTTGTGCAAAACTTGATTTAGATCCACTTACTCGTTTAAAAGTTATTTACTAAAAATTGTAGGAAAATATTATCTGTCTCTCTCTCTCTTTCTGTAAATTACTCGTTTTTTTTGTTTCTTGCAGTTGATTTCAGAGGGTATTCACGATCAAAAGTTTTTGTCATAAATTAGAAAAAAATATTAATTACAACTATTTTCTTTTACGAAGACGTTAAAAACCATATTATTTTGTGATACTTTAATTCTTTTTATAATCCGAATTTATTTATTTGATTTTTCAAACAATATAAACATAAGACATATATATTTTTTTTAAATTTTGACTGTTTTTTGCTACTATTGTACAGCCAAAATATCCTTAAAAAACCATGCCTTTTTGTCTTATCTCTATTTTCTATCCTAAAGTTTAATTCGCAAGAACGTTATATTCTCGAGAAAAAAATCATTTCCAAATCGGCTAAAGAATCTAAACGAGAAGCGAGAAGTATATCCAGTAGAGTTCTGTGGGGAGAACGGCCTATAATACTTAAATAAGATACACACAGGTTCCACGCTCGTGCAAATGGATTCAATGATGCATGATATAGGCGAGGAAGGTGGCGAGGAGAGGGTGACATGATTGTCAATTCTCGTTAAATCGTACATCATATAAACTGCGTTAAGCGCCGGCGGTTAGTCGTTATTGCGGCGATTAGGAAGTCGACGAGTTAGTTCTAGCGATTCTCTCTCGGGTGTTTGAGAGACGCAGAGCCGGGGGGAGGGGGGGAGAAAGAGGAGGGTGTGTTTAATAGGGCCACACTCCTGATGGACAAAGGCCACCTGTATACCTGGGCGATGCACTGGGAGACGACGTGATCAGGGAGCGCGGGGAACTGCTGCTTCAGCTCGTGGAACAGCTGCATGATAGTGATGTTAGAGCAGTGGCACTCCCCCATCGTGGGCCCCCATCCTCCTGGCAGGGCCTCTACCTGCAGGTGCCACGTATTATCGTTACACTTGGGCGTCTCGTCGTGTCGGACCGATCGCGAGTCGGTCGCCGGTTCCCCGTTAATTTTACGCTATTAATGGACCGACGCGCGCCAAGAGGATCCTCTCGTCTTTTGTAACGATCGCTTGCGATAACGAAAGACGAGCCAAGACTTCTGTCTCGTAATAACGCGATCCGGAAACCTTCCCAGAAACTTGGATATTTTGTAATTCATTGTATAAGCGAGTTGGGCCCGCATCCAGATCGAACGCTCTTTGTAGACCTGCCGGGGCGATCTCGGCGATATCGAACGACAGAAAGTTGGATGAGAGCGTGAAAACGGCGACCGGTGTTGGACTTTCTATGACTCGGATCACGTGCGATAATGACGGGAAAAAGATCGAAAGAAAGACCGTGGAACCTGGCAATAGGGAAACGCGTCAAAAAGTGCACACCCGCACCATACATTCTCTCTCTCTATTTCTTTCTCAAGTGGAGATTCGGCAGGTGCGATGCGTTACTCTTGAAACTTCCTTTCGCCCCTTCGTCATGCCAAGTAAGAGAGACGGAAGCTTTTCTCACTCTTTCAATGGCATGTCTTATCGTATTTATAAACTCGGCTGGCTAACCCATTATTCAGGAGTAACGGACAAGTCAAATAACGGTTTATTTCTCAGCATTAATCGGTGGAAAGTCCACGTTATCCCCTCCTGAAAAGAATTTCTTTTATCCTACGTCGTCTTACATTCTTCTCCCGCAAAGATTATAAACCGAAATATACAATCGATATCATCGGTCACAAGTAGCTCGAATTCAGATCTAAATTACGAAAAAAATTCATTTGCACTCTAATATTAATATATGTCATTATACAACGCATGCTTTTGCTATTACATATATTTTTCTTAGAAATAGTAGTTAAAAAATAGCAACTATATAAACTTATACGATTCAGAAGAAATCTAAATGTGTATGCTTACGCACGAGAGATGAATCATGGCAGGATTTTTTCGTCAAAAACTGCCAAAATCTGCGCGGACTAATTTGAAATTCTGATCTATTCCAACGCGACCGATCGCTCTACGACACCCGTTACATTGCGGAATTGGCAGCTGCGTAGGAAGACGATGGACACCTGTGCGGCATGCCATGTAATAGTGTCGCATAATTAGCCGGTACTAAAGCCGCTGTAATGCAATCTTGCGGATAAGTTTGTTTGCGGAAAATGACGCTTGCGCGAGACTGTAGCTAGTCATAAAAAAAAAAAAAGAATTAAAGCGGCATTATATGCCATAATAAATAGTGTCGCCGGTACTAAAGCCGCTGTAATGCAATCTTGCGGATAAGTTTGTTTGCGGAAAATGACGCTTGCGCGAGACTGTAGCTAGTGTAGCTAGTCAAAAAAGAATTAAAGCGGCATTATATGCCATAATAATAATAATAAATAAAA